GCCCAGTGGGCCAGATTCAGAAGGCGATTGGGCTGGATCTGGGCCTTAGTTTGCCTACCCATGGGCTAGAACCACAAAGGGATTTCTGAAAGAAGTGAATATTTAGGCTGCAGGCCTGAGTGGATTGGGGCACATCCGAGTGTGTTTTTATGATGATAATTTAAGCATGTAATGAAAATGAAAACCCCCACCCTCATTCTAGCTTCTGGTCAGGGCTGTGTCTCTGTGTTTGATTATTTTTTTAAAACTCCAGTTTCTAGCCAGCTTTGAATAATTGTTTTCTTTTAACAACAGCAAGGTAGTAAGTTTTACTGACTGTTTTTTTGTGCTTTTACATCTCTACAAAAGCTTTCAGTATGTTGGCAAACTCAGGCCTCCCCCCCCCCCCCCCGTTTATGGTAGACACTGACCTAAGACTATAGCAGTAAGTGATGCTTAGATGAGGTTATTCTACCCATTTGTCCTAGTGTTAACAGAATAACCATACCAACATAACACATGGCGAAGAGCCTAGCCTACACAGCATCTCTACTTCCCAATTTATTGGTTTATTTGGCTTTATCTTTTCCATGTTTATACTTGTCTGTCTATTTAATCTTTTTATAGTTCTTATCCTTATTTATATACTTTGGCTAATGAATACCATCCTTCCTTTATCTTGACCTACTTTGCATCTTTCATAAATCTGTGATTCAATGAGTGTCTTAAAAATTACTGAAGATGAGCCAGATTCTTGTTGTCATAGCACACTGAAGCTCAGAAGTACAACATTTTTCAACAGTGCTGTATTCCAGTAATGTTCTAGCAGGATACATTAAATCTTAACAGTTTGCTCAGAGAGCAGTCACTTTGGGGCTGAGGGTTTCAGAAAAGGAAATGAATGGGGAAATTGCACTGCACAGTTGTTGCTTTTGGTTCATAGTCCTGTTCTCCAGAATGATGCCTTATTATGCTTCTTAGTTCTCTTCCCATTTTAGTAAATACTGCTTTCTTTAAAAAGTATGAAGCTGTGAAGTTCTCACCTTCTACTCTGAATCTCCCCTGGTGAAAACATAGCATTCTTACAGCATTACTTCACCCATATCAAGTTCTCTGATAGCTTAACAAATTGCTGTCCAGGGTATCCTTAAAAATGTAGGCCTATTGTACTTTCTGGTGGCCTTCCTACCGAACAGCATTTGCATCATGCTAGTTTCCATTTCTATTAAAACAGCATGCTGCCCTTCTGATTAAGAAAACACATCAGGGAATATTCTAAATTATAGCTAATCAAGCTGAATGGGCTAGCAACATGTTCAGCATAAATATTAAGCAAGATCTGCACAATGCCTGCATGTTAGCGAAAGAAGTTATGAAATTAAGTTAAGCTTGGGGAGCATGGTTATCCATTTATTTTCCGTGATAGCAAATGTTTCCATCAGTTTATATGTGTTCATGATGAAGTATGCTCCCTCATAGGCATAAGTTGAGTTAGTGAATTTGCTATGTTCCTCAAATAATAAGCTATCTTGGTTATATTGTCTACGATTAAAACACAACAGGCAGCCCTTTAGAAGGCAAATACATAGGGTTGCCATATGTCCAGAATTCCCGAACATAGCCGGTATTTGGCCCTTGCAAACAGCATCTGGGTGGAAAATGCTGAAATGTCCAGGAAAATCCGGACGTATGACAACCCACGTCAGAAGTGTAGATTTTGGCGAATTTCATTAAAAATAGCTCGAAAACTCGTTTGTGTCCAGATTTTCACTTTTTAAAAATATGGCGACCCTAAAATACATGACCATGTTAGTATATGTTGAAGTGCTTATCTCTGCTGTAGTTTACAGGGACAAACTCCAGGTTCAAAGGGATCCTTGGCATTGAGATCTCTAGTGAGCCTCCATCTACATCTGTGTCCCCCATGAGCCGGGATGCTACAGTGATCACCATGATGGTGTTTAGCAGCTATTTAAATTTCCTGCAATGCTCCAGAGCACCTCGGACATGGTGCTACAACAGTACTGACTGAAACACACCAGTCAAGGGGGCCTTACGGCATGGCTCAATGGTGGGGCCTGCTGCAGCAATAGAGAATAACAGGTGCTGACAAAAACCTTGGTATTTTGTAATGTGTGCTGAGGAAAGAAATAGATTCTTACAACTACTCACTTCAGCTAATATTCAGCAACCCAGAGTGCTTCACAGTTAGATATTTTGTGAAGAGGTGATGATTAAACTGGGACAATCTGTGCATTGGACTCCATTGTACTGAAGGTCAGGAACTGTGCACACTGCATTTGCAACTCATTATATGGTCTTACTTACCAAACTGGGTTACTTATGCCCCAGGGCATGATCTGAAGGCCACATGAAATGACGACCTTACTGAAGTTTAGGACTCGGCCCCAGACACACTGATCAGATGTTTGGAAGCTGTGGCTGGATGGTTACGTGGGAGCCGGTTGAAGTTAAATCCTTCGAAGACAGAGGTCCTCTGGCTGGGTCGGGACGATATGGGATTGGGGGGGCAACTCCCATCTCTGGCGGGGGCACAATTAGTGCCAGCACCGTCCATTAAGAGTTTGGGTGTAATCTTCAACACCTCCCTTTCCATGGAGACGCAGATTGCAGCTATAACAAAGGCGGCATTTTTTCATCTCTGCCAAGCTAAGCAGTTGGCTCCTTACCTCTCTCGCCCTGACCTAGCCACTGTGATCCACGCGATAGTCACCTCCAGACTGGATTATTGTAACTCGCTCTACGTGGGGCTGCCCTTGAGACTGACCCAGAAACTCCAGCGGGTGCAGAATGCTGCAGCGAGACTCCTTACGGGGTCCTCGCTGCGAGATCACATTCACCCGGTGCTATACCAGCTGCACTGGCTCCCAGTGGAGTACAGGATTAGGTTTAAGGTGCTGGTTTTAACCTTTAAAGCCCTATATGGCCTAGGACCCTCGTACCTATGGGACCGCCTCTCCTGGTATGTTCAACAGAGGAACTTACGGTCTTCAAACAAAAACATCTTGAAGGTCCCAGAATACAGAGAGGTTAGGCTTCTCCTCAACTAGAGCCAGGGCTTTTTCAGCTGTGGCTCCGATCTGGTGGAACGCTCAGTCACAAGAGACTAGGGCCCTGCGGGACTTGACATCTTTCTGCAGGGCCTGCAAGACAGAGCTGTTCCACCAGGCCTTTGGCCAGGGCACAGCCTGACTCCCTCCTTTGGCAATCTTCACAGAACTCTAGGCCAATGGTTGCCATCAATTTGATTTGAATTAATTTTATAATGAAATGATTTTAGAATGTTGTATTATTTTATTGTTGTTAGCCGCCCTGAGCCTGGCTTCGGCTGGGGAGGGCAGGATATAAATAACATTTATTATTATTAATAATAATAATTTAGAGACACTTGCAGTAAAGAGGAAGGCTTGGAAATGCCAAAGGGGAGAGATTTTTAAAATTATGTAAATGAATGCACAGGAGGAAACACAAAGTAATTAATCATGATATTACCATATGTGGCCTTTCCTTTGGTCACACTCTTTTTTCTGAATAAAGAAGACACTAATTCAAATTTTCCTATGGTAAAAAAATATGAATTGCTATCTCTCATTTTAAGAGCTTGAAAAATAATTGTAGATATGGAGTAGTAACTGGTTTCCTGGTCAGATACTGTGTTTTAATTATATAATCTGAATTGTTACTCGCTTTTACCCTAGAATTTAGGGCAGAGTGTAGATTCCTCATTTGCTTTCATATAACAGTGGGGCCTGGATGACTGTTCTGTGAAACTTTGCCATGTGATAGTGCTTTCCAATGAAAACAATGTTAAGACATAATAAAGCTCCTATTTAGTGGATGTTCATAGAAAAGGTTTTAAGTGCAAATGGTAAGTATCTAGGTCCCATTTTGAGATTATGAGAAGATGGATCAGTTGCTACATCAGCTCAATGTGCATTGCAACTTAAGTATTTTCTTATTACAGTGTCTAGTGCAGAAGATACTGGAAAATTTCCAGTGATCATATGGGCATTAGAAAATATCCTTTCAGTTTGCCAAAAAAGGATTAGTGTGTAGATCTCATTTGGAATTTGCACATGACTATTATTATATAGATAAGAAGAAGGAAATTCCTCAGAATCATGAGAAAGTCAAATAAATTAATATCTAAGAACCCAAGCAGGTAGTAACTCTGTCCTAAGATTAGTTTTTCAGACTTTCATGACAATGGCTGGCCGTATAACGTCAAACAATTGCTTTTCTTTGTTGAAGAATATAAGTTTTACAGTTTAAAATTGCAAAGGAACAACACATTTAATTCTATTAACAGTGTTATTCTGGTAATGTTTGGCATGAATTTGGTTTGTTTTAAATATGTTAGCATTCATCTTCAGAATTGCTTTTTTCATTTAGCAAGAGAAATTTGTCTGTGAAATACATCAGTAAGCAGTTTTAAAAGGGAACAGCAAATTTCATTAACAAGTTCATTCTTCTGAGAAGAAGTCTACAGCACAGTTGCCCAGCTCACCCAAAGCACAAAGGCAAATAGAAAAGCTGGTTTGGATTTGCAGCATAGTCCTGAGAACATTATTCCAGTAATGAGATGTCACAGTGTCTGTTTAGGGGGGAAATGCCCCTGAGGGCAGAGAGATGAGGATGTTTTTGGATTTTTGGAGGGAGGGGAGGGAAAGGCACTGTGCAAGCAGTCTCACAGCACCCCTGACTGAAAGAAACAGCGACACGTTTTTGTTTTTAAAAAATCACCTCATGCGTTCATCTTATATCATACCCCTACAGGCATCAATTTAAAGAAACAGAGATACTCGTAAGCTTGTTTTCATCCAGAGTGACATTTCATGTGCAACCTGCTTATTGTTTCAGTTATCATCTGTTCAGTATAGTTTATGTGCTAGATAACTGCACCTAATATGCAAATGACATGTGCCATTATTTGTACATTTGCACTGTAAAACTGTCAATTGGACCTTTAGAATTAACAGGCCTATGCATACAATTCTTAGACATATGAAGGACCAAAACAAGAAGGTGGCAAACCTGAAGCACAATCAACAAATGGAAAAGAAGAAGAATGCCCAGTTGCTAGAAGAAGTTCGTAGACGTGAAGATAATATGACAGACAACTCTCAGCATTTGCAGGTGAGTTGCTTTAATTTGTCTAAATATTCTGGAAGTGTTCTGTTGCAAAAAAATAAACAAGTAAATGTGCTCCAAACCTGATTTCTGATGGAATACTGAAAGTCCTTTTTCTTAATGGACAAAGGTCTGGAAAGGTGGTGCAGAAAGACAACATTCAATTGACGTGTTGCGAAGAAGCACATTATGGTGTAAATCAGGGAAACCTTTCTTATAATGACTAGTGCAGTCTGGATATTTGTAGAAGGTGGTTGTTGTTATTTGAGGTATGACTTACTCAGTTGTGAATGGTACCTTATCTAATTACTTGAGGCAAATCTTCTGGTTAGAAATGATGAGAAGAAAAAATGAAATTTGATTTTGTTTAGGTGAATATAGTTGTATTCCATTGTATATCAAAAAATGCTGCTATAGCATTTTTAGTAGATAGCAAAACTAACTGCTATAGGCTGCTTGCATATTCTGGCTGTCCTTCTGTGCTGCATTCATATTTCCCAAGGGACTTTCCATAAGAACTGAAAGTATTATTTTAATCTGAATACAGAAGAAAAGGGGTAATAGGAATTTTACAAGTGGGGACCAACGAAACATGGTGGGGGAGAGAAAAGGCAGAAGAGATGAAGAAACTCCCCTCAGTATGGCCTCCCTACCTACACTTCAGTGTTGCGCAATTCAGCTACGTATATATAAAATATGTGAGGCTGCTGATCACCTGTTTTGCCTCTGCATCTTTTGTTACCTAGTTTTATCTGCTCAGGAGAACAAGCTGTGCCTGTGAATTCGTCCCTCAGTTGCAGCTGTTGTGCAAAATAAAGGACAGATCCTTCATCTGTTTCTATCAGTCTAATTAATTTACTTCATGCTGCTGTAACAGCTGCAGGATACCAAAGAATGGCCAGGTGGAAATGAGGGCAGTGCCCTTGTACCTTTATAGGTTGTGTAAATGAGGAGGTTTTTCCCAGTGCAGGTTGTCATGTGAGGGAGAGAAAAGACATGCATCTGTCATTAAGTGAGCATTCATTCAGGCCTTAGCTCGGCATGGGTGTTCTGCAGAGATGGGAGGACGATGAAGACACAGTTTGAAACAGACAAGTTTAAGTTCCAGAGAAGGCAGATCAGGAGTCAGGAAGCTAGTTAGAACAAGGCAGAAGTTTGAGTTGCTGAGGAGCAAAGAGATGAGCCAGAAATAGGATTATATTTAAAAGTCAGAGAGAGGTCACAATCCAAGACAGGAGACAGGAAAGGGGAGCAGGAGTGTAAGCAGAGTGTTTACTCGTAAGATGAATTGCTCAGACTAAGAAGGAGCTCTGGTGAGGATGCGTCCCTTTCATTCTTCCTGCCTCTTCAGTTTTCCTTCCTGTGCAAATAAGATTTGAGGGAGCAGTATGGAAAAAGTTTCACCTACACTCATAAGTCTGTATTCACCTCACAATTAACAGAAGTTAATGAGTAGAAGTGGCAAGCTTTAACAGGGCCATTCTGTCACAGAAAGGGGAATAACTGTGGTCTTGCCATCTTGTTGCTATGTTGGATAAAAAATTTATTGTATAAAGTTCTGCTGAGCCTATAAATCTTTGAAAGCTATAGATTTAGTCTAGAGCATTGCATTTTGGGTAAATTGAGATGGCGGTCAGTAACAGCAGATGGGAACTGAGTGGTGCTCCCAATCAGAAGTGGCACCGGCACCCATCCACAGGTAAAATGCCACCTGGGAATATGGCTGTAAATGGTGGCATAGCTGAGTCTGAATGGTGAAGGGCCCTTCTTAGCCCCCAAGGCTCTCAGCCAATGCTTGACTATTGGCAACATACTTCTGTAGAACCTTGCATTATCAGGGCTGTACATCACATTGGGAGGCCAGACACAGAAAGCAGGCTCCTTGTTCCAGGCCACCAACGTGTGAACAGTGTGGGATGGGTCTGGCAGGAGAAGTGAGAGAAGGCTTGGTCTTTCCCTCACACAATGGAGAATGTTCGAGTATGAACATCCAGACAGGCCTTCAGTCATGTTATAGTGGTGGCAGTGGAAAGCTGTCATGTGAAGTCGTTCAGATGTGATTACTCCTTACAAAATGTATGCTCTAGTATTTAAAGTATTATGTGCAACTCTGATTTATCACTACCACTAAACATTAGATTTAGTATTACAGAGATCACACAACAGCACTCGGTATAAATCTCTTAAATCTGAAACACTTTCCTAGTCTTTAGCAAACTCTTTTTGGAAAAGCAACCTCATTTTGAATCAAAAAAAGTCTAGAGTTGTCATTTTTGGCTTGTCTTCTCTCTGTCTCTCTCTCTTACCCCCCATCGCCTTTTCTTGAGTCTGTGAAATTAATGAACTAATATATGAAGAAATGTAAGAGCCAATATTTTATGCTTGTTTTCTTTTTAATTCATTGCCTAAAAACAGAATTTTATCTTACGTGTGTCCATTTTCAATTGGTAGGTTTCCTGGGGATAATAAGGTTTCCTCTTTTCAAGTGGTTATGTGTGCTCAGTGTATTAAACATTAGTATCTTTACAAAGCAAAAGGCGTGAAACAAAAAACAAAGAGCAGCCAGCAGAGAATATCATGCAACTATGTGAGTTTTGGAGATTTGTTCATGGGTACTTCTCTTGCCATTTTTCTGCTTCTCTAATTATAGATGGATTTTGCCAGGATAGGAAGTGTAACTAATAAGTTCAACCTCGAAAATGTTCACCTTTCAGCAAAATGTATAGTGTGTTATTAATTTCACACACTTCAGTGAGATCTCTCTCTCTCTCTCTCTCTCTCTCTCTCTCTCTCTCTCTCTCTCTCTCTCTTTGCCAGTAGATGCATTCTAATGTTAGTCATCTCCATGTGGTTAAGCATTTAAGTGTAGCTTTATATCTTTTCTTTGTAAGAATAAGAACAAGAATAACGTATGAATTAGCCTTAACATATTCATTCTTATTGCATTCTGTTCTCAAGTTTTATTGCTCTGAAGTTTTATTTAGAAAAGCAAACTTATTTAGCAAAAGATTTAAAAACTTATTAGCATAATTGCAAACTTGTAAGAACTAGTTTGTTTTAAGACTGCTAAATTGGATAACCTACATATGTGAGGCTATCTGAGTTGAATATTAATTTATTATTTTTACTAAGGGTGGTCGTTACCTGGCCAGCAGAGGTTCCATTAAGCTTGGGATACAGTCCATTTGCAATGAACCTCTGCCAATATTTTATGGAAGTGACAGATTTCAGTGATTTCAGAGGAAGAGTGAACTACAGTACTGAGAATTTACCTCAGTAAGTTGATGAGTTTTGTGTATCAGTGGCATATTTTGGGATTTGATTCATATTTAGATTTGAACGGTTCAGATGTGATTGAATCTTCAAAAGTTGAAATTCTTTTGTATGAATTCAGGCATGGCAACCAACCTCCTGCTACTAATGTATATAAATTATTTTTTGTTGGTGGTATTCATGTTTTCAGCAATCTGCTCCTCAGATCAAAGATAAGCCTACTTGCTCTTTGATAGTAAAAGGCAGCAGCAAAAACTTATCTCCTATATTAATGCTGTGGACAGAGCAGGAAAAAGATTTTTCTGCCCCCTGGCATTTAAAAAGCAGACAGAAACTTATGTCTGATCTTAGTGCTGTGGGAACACAATAGTAAGATCAGGGGAAAGCCTCTGTTGCCACCTTTTGATATCAAAGTCTATGTAAATGCTGCCTGCTCTTTGAAAGTTTTCATAATGAGTTTGATAATTGACTATCAAAGAGCAGGAAAAGGATTATTTCCAATCTCAGGTCTGAGCACCACATTGCTAGAATCTTATGAAAGATTATTCCTGATATAATCTGGTCATGTAATTCTGGACCTGATTATGAGTGAATATATGGACAGCTGCAATTTCCACACTCATTTCTGTTCCCATCAGAATTCTCCAGCATCCATAACCTGCCATTACAGTGTGGTGTAGTGGTTAAGAACAGTAGACTCATAATCTGGTGAGCCGGGTTCGCTTCCCCGCTCCTCCACATGCAGCTGCTGGGTGACCTTGGGCTAGTCACACTTCTCTGAAGTCTCTCAGCCCCACTCACCTCACAGAGTGTTTGTTGTGGGGGAGGAAGGGAAAGGAGAATGTTGGCCGCTTTGAGAGTCCTTCAGGTAGTGATAAAGCGGGATATCAAATCCAAACTCTTCTCTTCTTCTTCTTCTGGTAGTGAAGGGGGCATTTTGTGCATTGTTCGATTTATATATTTGTTAAAATTATGTCCTTCGGGGCCTATGCTTATAATTAGCATGTCTGTTGAAATACAGTTCATTCGTTTCTGGAGAAAACACCAACAACAACCTATAGCAAAATCGGACAGTTTATAAGCATTATTTAAACAACCTCCATTGTGATATTGCAGAGTAGAAGCTATTTCACAAGTGTCCAAACTCTTCCAGCAAGTCGGTTTTTTTGTCATGACTGTTTAGATCACGCAAGTTCCAGGAAAAGCCCCCTGAGGCAATATGGAAGTGGCCAAGAGTCAGTAGAACAGTCATGAAGCAGACTGCTAGGGAGCAGCTTCAGGAAATGAGCAGGGATAGTTTCTTGGCCAGAAACAGGATCTACTGGACCATGGACAGCTCCTGTGTCCCAGAGCTGCAGAGCACAACTCACTTCTAAAAGTAAAGAGGTAGGGTCTGAAGCTCAACTCCTTTGCTGGAGTGTCTCTACAGATGCTCAAGTGTTGGCGAACCAGGAGAAAGAGAGTCTTGGAGACAGAGAGCGATCATCAATAATACTGTTTGTTGTTACTGTTGTTTCATATTCCTAGTTGGACTACAACTCCCATCAGCCCCAGCCCCATCACTCCACACAAGGGAGCTGTAGCCCAACAATATCATGAAGATTTCCCCATCCTTCCAAAGAGTGCTCTGCATCACTAGAGAGAGTGTGGAAAAGGCACACTCAAGGATACACAGGCTATGTTAAGAAAGAGCTATGACATTTTACATTTTATGATTCCTAACCATTGAGCAA